GTGGGAGAGAAAATATAAATAAAAGGGTAGAAAAACCTTTCAGGTTGCGTCAAAATGCTACTCCCAAAGTATTTTCACAGCAGCACAGCTACGTAGGACCTCAGGCTGCACAGCGGTCTTGAGGCGCTGGGGCAGAGCAATTTCTTGTAGTTGGGTTAGTGAAGAGAGTAGAGAAAGGTGATGAGCCTAGGAATAGAAGGAAGAAACATGATAAGTTAATTCAGAAAATTAGAACAGAATTCACTCACAAGACAAGTATTTCATCATTGTGAAAAAAGTAGGTAGGTTTACAGGAAAAATTTGTTGTAAACTACAATTTGTAATCGTAAAAATACAGCATGCAGCATGTATCGACTTCAAATCCCTTGTGGAGTAAAATATGTGCGGTTGTAAATTTACAACTTAAATTATAATTCAAGTTTACAAAATTTTTGTAAATTTATGACGATATTTTTCACAGTGTTCAAAGAGCAATTTTCTGAACGTTATTGTTGCAAATGGCACACTATTCATGGCACGCATGGATGCCACACACCTTTTATTTTTTACGTTCACTGAGTTGTGAAGTGTCGTCTAGGTCGGAATCCCATCATCCTCCCCATTAAGCAGCTGGGTAACTATTCCAAAGAGCGAAGAGAGATTGAAAGCGTAAGAATCGATGTTTCCCATTCCCATAAATTTGAGCGATGTATGACAAAGCCCTACGTCGTGGAGCCCTAATAGCCGGACACTCATACACCCCTTGGATCGTGGTTTCACGTCGTTCCTCACGAGACCCGAGGGTCTCCCACTTCCAAAATAGGTGCACAATGAGTTAACGAGTTACCGCGAGTAACGAGCAAATTTAAATCAACTTTTCTAGAGTTTTGTGCGATTTTATCGTTGGACGAGGGCAAGTGTACAACGAGTTGGCTAGTGAGGCAATTCCAGAAAAAAGTGGAAGTGGTGTCGATATCTCAAATTGGTGCTTGAGACGTGCCGAAAACTGCTCCGTGTTGTAAAAGGACTACAGACCCTTTCAGCGCTCCCATGGTTGCCCCACTCCAGCGGCGCGTCGCCTAGCAACGCGATCCAAACAAACCGAGGTGCGCTTGCGCCAGAGCATTGCAAAATCGACGTATCTGACCGACCGAGCTGACCGACGCGCGGCCAGAGCTGGACCTACGCTGACCAAGGTGCGGTCAGAGCTGGCCGCTCACGAGCCTGCGCACGTCGGTCAGCCCGGTCGGTCAGATACGTCGATTTTGCAATGCTCTGGCGAAAGCGCGCTGGACGACTGCCCCGCCCGCCGGCGGGCGTTCCGTCAGTAACAATTTTTTTTGTGTGTTCTCTCTATTTGTGGCAAATCTTGTCGGGCTACAATTTCGACGATTCGGGTTGAAAGCAAGTTTGTTATGAGGAACAAATTTGGTCCTAATATCTAAGGTCGAAAAACGGTCGAGACAGGATGAAAATCGAGTCACTCACAGACGCTGCTGCTACTGGCGAACGCTGCCACTGGCGGACGCTACGCACAAGAATATGCACAACAATTTATTTTGCTGAGATTTTCTTGCTTTTTACCACAGTATGAGGTAGGCGGATCAAGACATGGGCAGATAGCTGCAATACTTGGTCTCAAGACTCTGTCCTCGTCCAATTTTTAACCCCTCTGAATTCGCTGAATTCTGAAAGAAACTAACTCCATGTCAAAACCCACTTCCGTTTTGTGTCCGTCAGTGACGGCTAGAATCCAAACAGTTCATCGCACAGCAACTGCTCGAATGTTATTGGATAGGGTTGTTTAAAAAGTACTTCAAGAATTATGTAAGTTCGGTTCCATTACCCCAGATCTACCCTTTCAAACCTAGAATGAAACCGCGTTTTTTGGCGTACAATCGTCCGTAAGTGACGCTTGGAATTGCCCAGTGCTGTTTCAACTCAAATGTGTACATTGCCTACTTTAAATAAAGCGTACATGGCATGTACACATCAATTAATGCTTTTCTTACAATAATTGAAGCATACATGCCATGTGTGCTTTATTTCAAGTATACAATGTACACATTTGAATTGGCAGAGTGGGGGACCCCTCGACCGGCCTCACTTTCTGACCAACTGGATCCATCTCGCAGATGTTCAAGGTTTTCCCATAGTGATGGGCACACCGAGTCTCACCTGAACACCGGCGCACTTGGCGAGGCGGACGCAGCGCAGAGCAGCACTCCCGGTCCTCAGCATGCAGCCCACGGCCGCATCCCTCCAGCCCGCACCCACGAGGCTCATCTCCGTGCGGCCCGAGCAGAGCCGCGCCATCGCCTCCAGCAGGGCGTCGGCGGCCGCGGGCTCCACGGCGGGGCCCACCTGCACCGCCAGCACCTCAACCGCGCTCAGCACCGGCGACAACTCCTCCAGGGTGGCCGCGGCTGCGCCACCGACCACGTGCAGCTCCAGCTGTGAAAAACGCACTGTTACAACTTTTCACGCACTTGTCAGCGTACTACGCACCAAATGACCATTGTTGCCAAAGAAAGATTCGTTTACGAGGTGAGGTATGGGTGAGTATTTTTAAAGCAAATTCACATTAAGAGGTACAAATGTGTTAAAAATTCTTATAGTTTTGTTGGCGATAGCACAGCATGTCCAGATGCACTTCAACCCCTTGGAAGGGATTCATATGTATCCTTTTTATAGACTATAATTTTTGTCAATTAAAAGAAATGCTAATTTGTCACTTGCGGGTTGATAAAATGCACATAATGTCAAGATGTGCTTAAAAGGGCACTTAAAAAGGGACGGTGTGCATGTTTTTGTACTTGTGATGCAATTGATGCAGTACTGATCTGGAAACCCAAGTGTGTACTTGAACGCAGAATATTCTGCATACCTACATGTATGCAGAATTTTTAGTGTACTCGGCAAGTATGCACAATATTCTGTGTACTTGGTCAAGTACACACTATCTCCTGCATACTTGACCAAGTACAGAGAATTCTGCATAATGTAGGTATATTCTGAATTCAAGTACACACTTGGGTTTCCAGAGTGGAACACGATGACAGTGTGAAAGCCGTACCCATATCGCCCACATTGAATAATGGATTTCCAGACGCACCTCTTTCAGGACTTTCATCTCCTTGATGATGTGGAGAAACTCGCTGCGCAGCGAGATTGAGCGTAACTTGGTGAGCGAAGCAAATAAGTCCTCAATGGGCAGGTGAACCCTGGTCTTCTTGAAGTCAGTGAAGTCCAAGTGTGTGATGACATCTTTCCTGTGCTCGAGCAAATCCGGCAACCTGTCATCCTCTGTCTCGTCGTAACCCCCGCCGATACTTTCATAAGCGGAGTAGTAGTCGTCGCCGTCGCAATTGGAGTCGATCCCGCCGAACTGCTGATCGAACCAGTCCCTAGAAACAAAATGACACTGTCAGGGTTGCCACAAGAACGGAAAAGTGAAATTCCCTGACATTTCCTAGACAATTCCGTGAATTTCCCTGACAATAAGGTGGGCAGTCAGATTGCAAAAAGGAGGGACTTTTGCAAACATCTCGCCTAACGCTGCCGGTTGTTTTTCCCTGACAGAGCGTTTAATTTCCTGACATTTCCCTGACTTCCCTGACTTGTGGCAACCCTGACTGTACAAAATAGTTGTAGATTTAACGGGATAACTTTCCTTTAACCATTAGTCTGATTCAAAATTCTAAAATTTCAAGCACTACGTATCCACTTGGAATTAATCAAAAAGCAAGTTTGGGGTTAAAAAACTAACAATTTTTATTGTTAATATTAACTACAAGGTATATAGTAAACTGACGGTATTTTTCAGTGTAGAAGTTGTCGCACTTTTAAACGCGAGAGAATTTTTATTCGGACCAGTAAATGTGAGAATTTTCCAGTAGAGTAGAGGTACAACTTGTTTTGAAGTGTAAGTATGGAAATTTATACAGACAGAAGTGTGCCACATTCAAACTGAAACACTTGGATTTAGAGTGCACAGAGCAGGCCGGTTGGCAAAGATTTTGGCGTTATCAAAGTACAATGAGGGTGGGATACGTCTTTTGGTAAGAAACTGTCCAATACGCACCGTGATAAGTAGAGTTCTATATCCTTGATCTTAGCAAAGGACACCTTGGGCTTCTTACTGCCGAACGCCATACGCTCTGTCTGGAATTCACCCCCGTAGGCGCTAAAATGATTGTCCACTGAGTTAACAACCAGTTCCAGCTTGGCCAGGTTAGGCAGAGCGCCGATCACGTCGATTGCGTTTGCCTGTCACACACAGATTACAAACGATGCAGCATTGAGAAGTTGATGTACGATGAGATGGGATAGTTTCGACCCAAGAAAAACGTTTGCTTAGGAGCACTGGAAAATCAGAGGCAAGAGCCTGGGTTTTAATGAAAGGCATTAAGAATTAACAGGCCTAAAAAACAATTACAACAAGTTTGATTGACTGCCTATGCCTTTATGAAAATTTAAGTGCTAGCAAAAGACAATAAAACTTGAGCGTCCATATAACCTATAAAATGCAATGGTTAGGGTCATTAAGATAAAGTTCTTATCTGAACTATATTAACGTTTAAAAGATGTTCATGAACATCATTGAACTTGCAAGTATTTGTTGAAGTTGGAAAACAAGTATACATTTAATTCAAGCGAACCCTCTACACTGCCCTTTTAAAATAGAACATGATTCTAAGACATCACTAGTAAAAGAAGAGTGCAAAATTTGCACTGCACGCCAATGTGTGCAAGTCATGATTTTGCATATCACTGTACATAGTGTCTACACTGTAGAAAGCTTGCAAATAATTTTCAAGCGTTGTAAAATGCTTTGCATTGCGAACTAAACAGGGGTCCGTAACTTATCATGAAAGCACCTTATAACGTTTTGAAAATCGTTAATGTTATACCCGATAACTGATGACGCATAGCATGACACATAACAGTTACAAAAATAACTTTTAACTTTTTAAAATAAAATAACCGTTATGGATTCAACAAATATTAGTTTAATAAATGTTAAAATGTTATTCTTTCGTGCTTTTGCGATATCACTTTTAAAATAAACGAAAGTTGCTTTTAACGTTAAGGGAATTTGTTCTGTCTATAACGTTAAGGGTATAACAATTTACTGATCGGTTAAGTTACCAACTTAACTTAAAATTTTATTTGTGGTTTTGTTAAATTATTTAACAAACTAATCATGTTTGTTAAGTTACGGACCCCTGGAACTAAATTCTTCGCATTGCGAACTAATTCTTTTCACCTTACGAAGAAAATCGTTCGTAACCCTGCAAAGAATTAGTTCGTAAACTTGCAAACCATTTCTTCGCAACTTACGAAGAAAATAGTTTGCAATGCGATGAAAATAGTTTGCAATGCAATGAAAATAGTTTGTAATGCAATGAATAGTTTGCAATGCAAACTTCCTTACAATGCTTGAAAATTCTCCGCAAGAATTTTGCAGTGTAATTGAAGTTGCAGACTTGCGTGATGTGCAAGAAAACACGTTTTGTAAACGTCAAAATTCTGCACACTTGACACACTGTCCAATGCTAGCAATAGGAACCAAAAACAGGGTTGCCACAAGGTACCAATTTCCGAATATCCTGACATAGTCCTGACCAAATCCTGATGAAAGAGTGACTTTATCTGGCATTTTGAGAACAAGATGACAGCCAAATAGCGCTATTGTTGAGGGGTAGCGCCCAGCCGCTGACCAGCAGCAAGGTGACAACCGGCACTATTTTACTGACATTTTTACCTAAGATACCGCAAAATCCTGACATTATCTTGATGATGCTAACTCGTGGCAACCCTGGAAAAAGTGTGCAGCAGCTATGCTTTTCGGAAATATCGAAGGTTGAAACACAAATTGATGTATATCCTAGTTAGACACCATAAGGGGTCGAAGACATGCACACTTGAATAATACATCAACTGGTGTGCAATAATAAACAGCTGTTTTACCAATGTTTTAATAAACTCTTAGCGTATGTACAATTGACGTCCTCAGTTTCATGCTATGACTGTCTCGGCGTTTCCCTTGTTTCAAGACGAGAGTTAGGCACAAACTTTGAAACAGAATTCCCCAGCAGCACCTGAAGATACTTAAAAATGTTCTAGTTTGATGATAAACGATCAGAATGATTTGATACCGACGCCATGTCTGTCAGGTAGTGATAAGCGAACAAGCCAGTTCCAATTTGAACGAACTCAAACAAATTTGGTCTACAAATCTTCGAACGAACACGAACAGCCATATTTTACTTCGAACGAACCAAACGGAACAATGCACTGTTCAAATTCGATCGAAACACGAGAAATTACTACATTTTGTTTTTGCTTCTGAGTTATAAAAACAATGCATGCTGGTTTAAAATAGTTCCCATTAACGTTTAACATGTTTGCTATTAACCTGCCACTGCCCCCTTCTAATTTAAAGTTATCTAGGTCAGCTTACCTGGCTGGAGCCCTTTCCGCTGGGCTGCACTAGAGCCCTCATTGTAATGCGGAGGCTTGTCAAGCTTTTCTTGTACTTGCGCAACAGCTTCACGAGGTCCTTGGCGTACTTGAACTCTGTGGCCCATGGCGCGTCGCCGAGGTCCAACCGCTCAACATTATCGGTCCCCGCAGTCAGAGCTGCTAGCACCGCGTCAATCTGCATCACACCAAATAAGAATCTTATCACTCTAAATCTGAAGGGACTGAATTTAATCGTCCAAATATAGAAGTTGAATCTGGCAATTGACAAATTAGCATCAATATTGATTGCCCTAGTAACACTAAACTGTCGCACATAGTGTACTTTTTAAATATCGTCCAAATATTGTGACGATAACAAACATCCAAAAGTGATGGCTTTTCCACAGTCAGACGATTGTCGCTGGTCTATCAAATTTAAACCACCTACCATTCTGTTGTATTTTTATCGCTTCCTGATCGACTCCACAACAGTGGTTTTTCGCTTCCGATACGGATAGCTGGCCCATAAAGATTTTCGTCCCGAGGAAAAAAGATAGTATTCCGACAGAATCATTTTTCTCATTTCGTATTTCGCATCGATAGTTCGTATCTTTTTTCTACTGTTGTCCGACAGACTTATGACAGTTCTGTGCTACTAGGGTGAGAGAACTACTGTTGACCAAGAGATGTTGATTCGTTTCTTCCAATATTCAAATTTGCTTGCCTCTGCAGGTGCACAAGAAGCATTTTTCTATGGACTAAAAGCGTTCCGTGGCTCGTGCACTTTAGTTGGTCGGGACCCCTGTCTAAATTTTCGCAATCACTATCGCGATATTTTTTATTCAGACTCGATCGCGACTACACAAGTTAAGCCATCAGTCGAGCCCTACCTTTTTGTCCGAACGCCACTGCGGCTTGCCGAACAGAATCTTCATGCTGAAGGGGCCTCCCGCGAAGCTGCTGCTGGTCCTGTCCAGGCCAGAGATGTCAAGCAGACCGATGGCCGGCACGCGCCGAGCCGTGCGCAGAAAGTTGCTGTGCTGCTCGGGGGAGTAAACCAGCTCCTCTAGCTTAGCAGGCTGCAGGAGAAATGGTTAGTTAAGCTACAATTTTGTTCCTAAAATTGAATAGGAAACGAACGCTTTCCTGCACACCCAGATCCTAGGCAAATCTATAATTTGTCCGACGACTGAAGATTCAAGTTCGTAACTACGCACGATTCTTGCACCATCTACGATGTGCGCACAGTGCCGAGGGGGCAAGAACTCTCTCTTTAAGTGTACACATACTTCCCGGAGTTATTGCTCCCTCGCATCTTGCAATGGACAAAAATTGTCCCTTGCCATTTCGAGTGCAGACCGTGAAATAATAATAATTATGCATAATTATGCAGTCGAAGATGCATCTTCATCTTCAACACTGTTGGAAATTATCGTAATTTGACGAAAAATGTCCTGTTCAGTAACATTCGTACATTACATTCGTAAAATGACGAACAGTTTCTAACTCGGTTGTTGTTCTAACAGACATACCCTGGACAGAAGATCTTTTGAAACAAACATCCTAACATCCTGATCAATTGACAAAATTAAATCGTGATGTCACGAATACACCGGAAAAACAAAGGTGTGTATGACTTAACAGCTTTTTAAGGGGTGTTGGAGTCAAAAGGCGTCAACGTTTTAGTTTATTTTCCAAAATATTTTCTGATGAAGCAAACCAAGGTTTGTAGGGCTTATATTTTCATGTTAAGCTCAAAATATCGCTTCGATCAAGCCGACATGCGATAGGGTTCAGATCCCAATTGAAAGAATTTTAGTAGATTCCTAAGGACAGCTACTTCTTTTGCCGTTCTGGTTCTTCTGACACAATATGTCACGTGTAGGCTCGTTCAAAGTGGAATTTTGAGCAGAATGCGAAAATGTAAGTCCTAAAAACCTTGGTTTGCTTCAGCAGAAAATATTTCAAAAAAACTGAAACGTTAAAGCCTTTAAAAGGTGTGATATCACACCTTTGTTTTACCAGTGTCTTGTTTCATACCGCTGCGAACAGTTCGTAACCAAAATTGACGAATAATACTCCTTATTTTCTATAACGAACTATTCGTGACAGATAACTTGCGTGAAATGACAAAAATCATTAATAGTATATTTTTTTCAAAACAGTTCAGACCGACTAAAACTTGTATATACGGTCCAACTGCAAAATTAGGAAGGACCTGAGACACATTAACAACTGGCTGCCCCGTTCGAGTTTACTGGAGTTTCTTTAAAGTGTGTATAGAAACTTACCGCTTGAGCTTTTTTGGCTGTTCCTGCTGCAGAGGTGACTGATGCTGATGCCTGTAAAAGAAGTGAACATGTTCCAGTCCTCTGTAACACGTGGGGCTCGCGAAGTGCATTAAATTTACAGAAGACATAACAAATTTGGCACAAAACAATGCCGAGTGAGGGTCCGAATAATAGATAGGCAAGCGGTCGTCTGCTTCTTGAACGCGAGAGGTGCTTTCTATTATCCTGTCTCTATAGTGGGCATCTAAGGGATAAGGAATTAGTCTCAAGATCCCTGAGTGTGCATTTCCTACTAGGCAACCTACTAGGCCTGCAAAAAAGCTTTCGGCTTCAATATCTGCCATATTTAACATACTCAGACACTTGAGTTACAGCCTTTTGGAAACCTTCCTCCTTTTTTTGGGGGGGGGGACTGGTTTTGTGCTTATCCTAGCACACTAACAGATTTGAAGGTTATATTTGTACAAAGTTGCGCATACATTCCATTCGCACAAATTTGTGCGAAGAAGTGCATGTTTTTATGCATACGTGTGCACAAATTCGTACATATTTGCGCACAAATTCGTGCGAGTCGAAATGTATGCGCAACTTTGTGCAAACGTTTGCACAAAAAACTACAAATACATTTAGTGTGCTCATGAGTAGATAGATTAAGTGAACAAATTTAGGTCGAAGTTGTAGTGGGCCAATGTGAACCGTTCGTGATGTTATTTGATCCTCCTCAGGAAATTTTGTTGGCTGGATAAGCCTCCGACGAAGCTCGGGACCGGATATGGGCCTAAATATATTCCATACAGCATTATTTCAAGCCTCAGCCTAGCAGTCTGTCTTCCTCGCGGCAATCGCAAGCCCATCCATGTGTCGAGGAAGATATCAAGTGATTCACCCCTTGCAAGTGACTCGGTAGCATTCAAGAGGCCTTAGAAAAGGTCCGAAAAATAACTAGTGCGGGTCAAGAATACAGAATTTCGATTATTTGGAAAGCTTCCCATAATATTTTTCTGTATGCCTTTCGTGTTGCTCTATCAGTGCGGACATCACAAGAAGTCATACTGGAGCAAAAGCAACTTTCTATAAGATGACAAGATGCCCGCTTTGAGACCTCCCATTCTGCACGTTTCAGTACATAAACATTGCAGATGTCCAGCAGGAAGCGTCATGAAAAAATTAACAATCAGCTCAAACCGCTGGGGAGCAAAAGCTGGCCGCGACTAGGAAACCGAAGCTTCTTCGTTTGTGAAAGCAAGAAACAAAGAAGAAACTGACGGTAGTTAGGTTAGGTTAGCGTGGCTGGAGGCGCCACGGCACGATTTCCTAACGTACACAGTGCCATCTAAAAACCAAGTAACTTTAAGATCAAAGATCACCACTCCTCCAAGACAATAAGTGTTTAAACAAGATTATGTACTTTCCGTTTTCTTCTTCCAAGCATTGTTCTGCTTTTCAGCTCTACCGGAATGCTTTATATGCAAGGTCCGCTTGGCGTTTCCAGTGCAGTCCACATGCTGTCTCAAAGCAACGAGATAAAGAGAAGGACGGGTGGAGGCGGATCACAACAACCCGTACACCAGAGCTCACCTCCTTTAACTGCTGCTGCGTGGCTGCCAGCTGCTCTTTGAGGTTTGCGTTCTGCATCTCCAAGGCTCTGCAATGTGCCTCTAGGTCTACCGTCCCACCAGCGGCTCCAGAGGGTCCAGCAGCACTTGTCTGTGAACAATACGCGAACCTCAGGACAATCATCGTGGCACCACACAAAAACAAATTCATGGTTCCCACATTTTGGCTCCTGGCGTTTTCCAGGACGTTTCCAGGACTGTCCAGACTATATTTTTAAAATTTCCATGACAATTTACAATGAAATATCAGAGACTAGTGAGACTTGACGATAAAGCTATGAAAAATACTTTTAAAGTTCCCACCATACGCCAGCTGGGATCATCACAAACATATGAGAATTCCCCCATTGTCCTGCTTTGAGAATTTGAAAATTCATACCTAGATATCAAATAAAAAATAAAATTATCACGTAATTTTAAGAATTCGATTTTTCCAGGACAGTCCAACCAATTTCCAGGACATTCCATGACTTTCCAGGACCATATTTTTTCCAGGACTTTCCTACAGGGTTCATACTACATCCCAAGTTCTGTTTTCCCTGACTTCCACACCAAAATATCCCGTTATTCCCTGCCTTTCTGAGTGCAACACGGTAAAAAGAATGTCTTGAAATCCCAGGAAATTTCCGGGATTTCAAGGTTGGGTGGATAATTTTAAGATTGGCCCTTGAAATCCCAGACTCTGTCTTGAAACCCATAGTTTCCAAGGGAAATCCTTGGAATTTTCGTCTGGTATTCAAGGGTTTTCCTTGATGTATCCAGATCGTGCTTCAAGGAAAACCCTTGAATACCAAACAAATATTCCATCAGTGAAATCCTTGAAATCCTAGAAATTTCCTGGGATTTCAAGACATTCTTTTTACCTTGAATAGGTCAGTGTAGTAGAAAAATACAGTAAAAACAGGACGCAAAAATAAATTCGTTATTACAGTTATTATTGAAAAATATTCAGAATAATGAAAATCAGAATATTGGGAAAAGAATGGACTAAGGGGGTGTATGTGGTCGCGAGCAGAGCGAGCGAGATATTATTTTTACTCTAAATCTACATTTCAAGCTGTCTTTGGTGAAACTACCTGGGCCAGGATATCCCTCTGGAACGCGGAGTGGAACTAAGAAGAACAAAAGCGGATACAGAGAGCGGTGGTGGGGGCGGGCCGGGAGGCTCCCCCACCACCCGCCGCTCCACCACTCTATCCGCTTTTGTTCTTCTTAGTTCCGCTCCGCGCTCCAGAGGGGTACCTTATTGCGAAGCAATGAAAACGCTGCAAAGCATCGCTTTGCAATTGCAAAGTGTCACTTCGTAATTGCAAAGCATCACTTTGTAATAAACCATTCCGGTAAAGCCGAAATGCAGAAGAATGCAAGGAACAAGAAAACGGGAGTCACCATGTTACAGCATAGCGATTTCCGTTTTCTTCTGCCCCGTATTCTTCTGCATTACAGCTTCAACGGAATGCCTTATTGCAAAGTAAATGCTTCGTAGTTACAAAGGAGCAAAATACTTCGCAGGAATTTAACAGTGACACCCTACAGGGCGTTCTCTGTTCTAACAGCAGTACCATTGGTACCGCAGTACAAAGAGTCATATTGTACGACACTAGAATTTGGTTGGCGTCTTTTCATGTCCCCAGATACTGGTGTGCAAAGTGACCAAATATGGAAGTTTAAATACGCCAATTTATAATGTGTCCGGAAAGAACAGTAGGCGTTCTCTCAGGGAACGCTAAAATCGGGCGTCAAAAAACGGCACACTGTTTACAGTGGACACGAGCTTCCTACGAGTCTTTGAGTGTATATGTACCGAGATTTTGTCAGCATTTTATATTAACCGTCCCAAGACATGATTACTTTACCTGTTTGGGGTTGGCTGACGTCTTCTGCCTCTTCGCTGCAGGTACATGTGCCTCCATTCTGTAAGCAGTCCGATTCTGTAACAAAAAAATAAAAACAACATTTTGTAAGTTTGCCGCTCAGAAGGTGGCAACTAGATCTCGTACCCTTAAGTCAGTAATAGGTGGCTCCAGATCACGTACAGCAGGTAACTCAAAACGAATTAATAGGACAACAAATCATTCACAAATCGGCCCTATCAGCCCTAAACGATACCTTTGCTTCTTCCCACTCTTCTATCGCGGCGCAACGGAATGGTCTGTTTGCCAACGACGACCTTAGTATGTCGATCAGCCAATGAGCACGCATGCCGAAGCAGATCAAGCAGACATGCTTTTCTTCTTCAGGTTCCGGTTCGCTTGGAACGGAATGCCCTAGGGTATTCAACCAGTTTAACCCTTATTCAAAGAAGAACAGTAAGGCTTCCTGAACCGTTTCGTCCCCGACGCTCATTGGCTCACGCGGGCAAAGTTCTCAGACCCGTCACTAGGGTAGTCACAGCCCTGGTTAGGGTGGCCACTTCCCGGTACCTTTCCAAATTCCCGGCTCCGAAATGCCAGGGGAAATAGGCTTGAACTTCGGTGTACGTTTCCTTGAACTTCGTCGAACTTCGGTGAACTTCGAGAACTTCGGTGAACTTCGCGGAACTTCGACCGAAGTTCTCACACTTCGACCTGGTCAAGAGATATGAAAGCAAAATTGTTCCTCTGTGATCTTTCTAATTCGGACCGTAGATACCTGCTTTAAGTAAGCTCGAGACTCGCTTATAGTAAGCACTCAAAAGTGACTAAGTGCAGCCGTAAATATGTACTAAAATATTTGGAACTTCAGTGAACTTCTCAGATTTATTTTGAACTTCGGGGAACTTCGACATTTATTTTG